GCCCGGTGCTCGGTGCTCCGCGCCTTGCGCCGAGAAGCCGGGTGAGGGGCCGGGCCGGGAGTGCCGGGCGCCGCGGGGGCGGTGATCAGTCAGCCCTGCTGAGCGCTGGCCCCAAAGCGCCCAAGGACCGCGGGTCCCGCTGCAGTTGAAGATAGTCGATAAAAGAAATGCGCGCCCAGTGATACCGCTCTGAGTTTCTAAAAGCAGGCAGGGTGTGAGGTGCGCCCGTGGAGAGCAGCGGGGGCCGTCCTGCCTTACGGACGAAGGCTGTTGCTCTGCATGTGGCGCGTTGGTCTCACTGCGGCAGCTTTGTCTCTCCTGCCTGCTGAAGTCACATCCCATACTGCACGCAACGCTTTTCAGCCCTGCAGAGGCCTTTCCTGTCTTCCCACAGCTGGTATCTGCTTTGCACAACCTCACGAGGCACGTGGTGTACCAGGGCTTGACAAAGCCAGAAGATATTCTCTCTCTCTTTCCAGAAAACTTCCACCAAAACTTGAAGAACCTTTTAACCAAGATAATCTTGGAGAATGCGTGAGTGTTACCCACCTGCCCTTTGCTTTCAATGGGAAAATTAAAGCATATGTAGCTGTTGGGATCGATGGCAGCATGCAGAGTGTTGGCTCTAGCAATTTTGTGCATGCCTTTGACCATATGAACACAATTGCAAAGGCTGGGATGAGGGGACTCGAACGAAGTACAGCACCTGAGTGGAATGGCTGCCAAAATGCTGCAGTATGCACAGGTTTTCACGAGACTTTAGGAAAAGGTGTGGGCCTGATCCACATAATGCAGAGTCTGTTTTATCCCAGCAACTCATCTGTGCAGTGGGAAAATGCTTCAGGTGAGAATAAAACTTAGCTAGATTTCAGTACTGGAAAGTCAGATTGTTTAGCCCATTCACTTAGCACCGTGGCTCAGGTGCTGAGGCACTGTATGCGGCAGGGGCGCTGTATGCACACCCAAGAGGAGAGCCATTCTGGATACTTGTACCTCTCACTGTTTGGTAGCCAGTTACTTTGATAATACCAGGGAGAAGGGTACACGTCTTCAGTGAGTTGCACCTACAGAAGAACCAATAGATGATTGATTTACTTATTTTTGGACATCAGTTCGCCCTACTGGCGGCAGCCTTTTCTCAGTGCTCAGTAGCACAGGCGAGTCTCTCTTCCCTTCACTGCTGCAGCCCTGGTGACCATCTGTTCTTTTTAACTTCTGCTGATGCCATTTATTTTTATTTTCTCCACTTTTTCGCAGCTCTGCGTGGAGGAATGAAGCACAAGCAAGTCAGAGTAAGTACCATTTCATGTTTGCGATTAATGTTTCTGAGATCATTTGAGAGAGGCTGGAGTTTAGAAGTGTGCGTTACAACACGTCTTGCTGCAGCATAGCACAGAGATGCCCACGTATGCCTTAGATGAAGCTGTATGATTGTGGCATCATAGACCTTAGCCGAGGCCAACAAGCTTGTATCGAGATCTGTGGTGCTCTCTTAAATTGTTTTCAATCCTCAAGCAATTTTATTTAATACTTGGTCTGTTGCTACAGTGCAGAGTGCGGTGTGGAAATAGCAAGTATTTGCCAAACTTTTGAAAGCGAAGCACTCTGACCTCCCCATTGAGGTCAGTAAGTGGCGTCTGTACCCAACAACTATATACTGCAAAGGATACAGGAGTATTAGGGAATACCTCATCTGAGCGCATCTAGACAGCTCTGTGCATTCTTTTCCTACACTCATCAGGAAGTACACTGCATATATTCATAGCCTTTCTAATGTGTGATGTAGTTATGCAATGCTAACTTTAACAATAGCATCACTGGCAGTGACTTACATCTCAGTTACTAAGCGTTCCAGGCAGCTATACCGCTTTGCTTTTTTCCTTAGGAGGTTTTCTTCACAGCTGTAGCACCTGGAGGTTCCAAGAGAGCTGATATGTAAGAGTACTTTGAGGTCTGCATGGTTCCTCTTGGCCTCCTTGTCAGTCTGCAGAGGAGATAATCCCCAAGAGGGAAAGAATATGCCACGAAAGACTAGGAAAACCACTTTCCCTTTAAAATCTCTAGAGTAAAAATGGTAAAGAGAGAGCGTGGGGGAGGAAATTATTGCATAATGCTAAAACAGTACAGCAGTTGCTTACTTAAACATAGTTCTAGTGTTACCAAGAGACATAATGCTTTTTCCTGTATCCTTAACAGTATTGTGCGTTAGAGGAAATGAGAGCAAGCCTGACACACTAGCTAGATCTTCATAACCCAGTAGCAAGGCTGCGTGTGGCTCTTGGAACACCACCCAGGAACTCTGCTTCGAAACTCATGTCCCATTGGGTGAATATTTAACCCTGTTGGATTGCCTTCTGGGAAATGATGGATCATTTCAGTATCATATTCGTGAAACACCTGCCATATACTACATAGGGGCAGAGGCAATGATTTAAAGAACAGATATTCCAACTGATCGATCTATATTAACATAAACATGTGGATGGTTTCCTGCCCCTCCCAAGCCACCAGCAATGAATCTTTGCAAATTAACATACAAGACTAAACAGATGCCTTTTATGTTGTTGCAAATGCTGCCAAGTGCTGGCCCTGATGGACTATAAATTGGAATTTGATCCAAATGCAAGAGCACGGCAGCCAATTCTGTACTGCCCCTTGGAGTTCTGCTCAGCGGAGGAGGGAGAGCCTTTCCCCAGATACAAAGAGAAATTTCTGTCAGCATTGTTAGCAAACAACTGAGCATCTGGAGCCAGTAGGAGGGATAACTGTCAGATGGGATCAGCCCTTGGGAAAGAAGCTAGGCACCTTATGATAGACAGACTCCAGATGGGATGTAGTTGCCTGTTGGAACAGCACTTAGCACTCAACAGAAGTTTGGTCTTTGCCTCTTCACCCTCCTGCCCCGCCTCGTATCCTTAAATAGGTAGCAAATAACTGCTGAAAACCAGGTTTGATAAAGCTTTGACAAAGACACTCAGTGTGATACCTTTGAACCTAGCAGATGCAAACCTCCTAAGCACCACAGCTGAGATTTTAAACTGAGTTTGAGAATAAATGACCATCTCCCTACTGATCTTTTATACGGCTAGACCTACAATTCTTTCAGACTCCTTTGACAATTCCTGACTGACATAAACAGGAACAACGTTGCCTTCGGCACCCTGTAGCCATCGGTTCGGACGTAGTTTAAGTAGTTAAATGTGTGATGCTGCAAATTCCTTTCTCAAACTGAAAGGATTTCTTATTGTTTCTCTGTCCTTGGTGTGGACTTCTCTTCCAGTGAGGGTTTACTCTCTTTCCCCAGGAAACTGGATGCTGCACTTTCAAACATGGGAAGTGCAGCTCAGCTCTTAAAAGAAAATGGAGTTGCAAAAGGTGCAAGAGATGCTCTATTTCCTATAGATGTAACAGTTCCAAAATGGGAAATGACACGAAGTATGCCCTGTTACCTTAAACTTTTTTCTTTATATATATTTTAAATAAGGCATTTACCTTACAGACATTTGCCAAATTCCTGGATTCCAGTGATAAAATGTGTTTTGTGCATCTTTCCACTGGCAGTCAGGAGCTCAAGCATTACCTTTTAACATTTATTGTTGTAATCCAGCTGCATAAGTAATTATGCTTTCCTCCGGGTTGGAGTTTTAATAGAAAATACCTGTAAATCTTAGATGAGAATATCAGTACTGTGTCCTTTTCTGGGTTAAAACTGTGTTTTCTTTACGTGAGTAGGAATATGTATTTTGTTCAAACACCAGCAAGGATATCTGTATGCCGCTCATCTAAATACCGGCAACAGTTTCACTTGAATATCTTTGTTTCTTGTAGTTTCTCTCCCTAAAAGGTGAAAAACACTGTTGAAAAACATTATACTCCTAGGAGCTGATAAACAGCGCTTGCAGTCAAGCCTGTTGGTGCCAAAGTTTTTTTGAGAGGGCCTTAACCATAGCTTTTATGCCAGTTTGTGTGATGCTTAGGGACTTTTCAGGGGTCAAAGTGCAAAGAGCTGCATTAAGTACACAGCATCACGAGAGAATCTCCATCTCTTCTCTCTGCAAGAGATACCTGCACAACCTTCTTGGCAGGGCAGCCAAGTCAGATCTGCTTGCTGTGTGGGTTTTCACTGGTTACAGAACAGAGCAATAAGCACAGCAGGTCCCAGAGCAACTCATGCTGAAATGCTGGTTGAATGTTGCAGACAGCAAGGCAAAGAAAGGGGTGGAGAGGTGGAGAAGACATCTTGTTGTTCTCTCAGCTGCTTTGTGAACTTAACTGTGCTCGTCTTGCGCTGTACCATGCTCACCTATGATAGGAGAACCCTGTTTGCCCTTCTAGTGTCACGAGGAGGCCTTCATAGTTTGACTTATTGCAGGGCAAAAATGGTATGAAATCGGGTGGTAGCATTAGAATTGCCCATTTTCACAAGGTCAGCAGAACCCTTGTTAGTGGAGAAGCTGGACCTAACTGGCCCCTGGTTTTCAATCCCTCAGTCTCCCTGCCTCGCCTGGTTGACATGGACTGGAGGGTGGACATCAAGACCTCTTCAGACAGCATCAGCAGAATGGCAGTCCCTACTTGCCTGCTACAGTTGAAGGTAATAACAGTGGCTGCATGGGATACAGGATCAAAATAACTGAGTCTAACACCTGACTTACCAGTGACAGCCCCAAACAGTTCAGACAGGCGTGTGGTGTTTGCATGTTGCCCAGCGGGTAAGAACAGAAGGGTGCTGAGCAACTAACGGGCTTTCTCAGAGAAGATCTGTGAAATACCACGGAGCCTGGGAACGAGGTCTCTAATGAAAGCCATCTTGTTTTAAAGGAGAGCTCTCTCTGCATGAGGAGGAGATGGCATATTTGCCCCTGGTCAAGCGGATGTTCTCTGAAGAAAGAAAGAAGACAGCAAGTCACGGAGAGCCATTAGCTTTTACTTACAAAACCACTCAAGGCTCAGTAGCATGTTTAGTTGAGCGTTAGTTGGGAGGTGGCTTTTGATTATTAGTAACTTTCTTCACTGCCCCGCATCTATCCTTTGGGGAGCATAGCCAAACTTCTCATATTCCATGCAATTCTTGATCCCTCTGAACTAGTAAAATCAGATAGATATGCTTGAGAGAAGGAGGAAGATCTAATTCCTATCTGTGGCATGGGATTAAATATCCTATAGGGTATCTGCTAAGGTGCTTCTGATAGGGATGTGGCCTCCCGCTGTAAGACTCTTAAGAATTTTCCGTTGCTCATTGCTGTATGTGCTCGCTTATGCCCTGTCAACGGGAGTGCACTTCACTTGTGAGGCACGCAGCGTATAAAATGTGCCCTGGTCTTTCAGGATGGAACTTGATGCCAGATTTAGAACACTTTTCTTAATCCATCCATTAAGCACCGACTTTCCCAGTCATAGTGGAAACATGTGGATGGATTTTTTCATACAACTAACACCTGCATTCCTATTTTCAGATTCAGGAAGATGCTGCCTTATGTGGAAATAATCCTGTTGTTTCTGCACTGACTGTGGAACTGAGTAAAGAAACCCTGGACACTATGTTAGAAGGGCTGGGAAGGATTCGGGACCAACTTTCTGCTGTTGCAAACAAATGAATACCAGAGGGCATGAATTTCAGCTGCCAGGAAGGGAAGTATTCTCTCCTCTACCTACAGCTCTGATAAGTTACAGCCTAGCGTCCTATGCTTTCTGTCTTGACCAAACAAAATTAAAGAGATTTCTGTTTTGAGTTAATGAAGATAGCTTTTCAAAAGCTAACACTTAAACATGCAGTTGGTCTGGTGCCAAAAACTGTTTTCCTAGTGTTGTTGAACAAAAACTCTTCTCCCTTTCAGAGAAGGATTTAAAGGCTCAGAGCCTGGCTTAATCACAAGGGTCGTAATGGGAAATGGCAAATAGCTGCAGCCAATGAAGCGAGTGCTATCTCCCTGCCCTGAAATTAGGATCTAAAAGGCTCAGGCTGGCTAATGGGCTGCCTTCCAGCATTAGCAGACAAGGAGGGTGCTTCTCTCTGAAATGTGCGTGTACTGAGGTGCATGCTGGATATAGCACTCTCTCCTTCCTAACGAAGCACAGCCATGCTGCAGATTGTTATAACAGGATAATGCTTTGAAATAGGGCAATTATGCTACAGCAAATTCCCTTCTGATCAGCTTCATAGCACCATTTGCAAAATGACTAGTCTGAACATCTTTAGCAGTGAGTAATTTCCTCCTCCTGTTTGAAAAGAAAAAAGGAGGTTAGCTCATTTGCATTTAGGCTTATTGGCCTTTAGGCATTGCCGTTGCTGCAGAAAAGACAGACTGAGAAAGTAAAGAACTGATGGCCATTGTCTGTGCTGGAGGAAACCCTTCTATGGCAATTGGTGTGTACACTTCCCCAAAGTATTCTGTTGTTTAAGTCTTCATTTAATTAAAAAAATGAACTGCTGATTGATTTTGTAAGTCCTTTTTTGTCTACAAGAGATGTTGTCCTGGGCTATCTCAGCCTGTTTGTGATGGTGCTTAGTTTGTAGGCTGGTGTAATGGATGTTAATTTTGTTGCTCAAGCGGGATCTTTTGTTTTCTGCTCAGATGGACTGATCTTCTAAACTCTGTCTACTCTCCATTTAGTAAAGTTTACTAAGGTTTTGTAAAAAGCTCATCTTTTTGCATAGGCACTGGTTCTGTCCAACATCACAGGTGATGATCCTGATCTAAAATGTTATAGATATATGTGCATTGAAAGGGTAAAGGAAGAAGTGATGAATAGGGAGGAATGAACAAAAATAAGACACATCTTTCTGATGTGCTTCTGTAATGCAACAAATGGGAACACTGGATCCAAAGTTTTACCTTAGTTTACGGCAAAGCCCCACTTTGCAGCTGGTTCTACCTTAACACACAGAAGATGGTCTCTCTTGTTTGCAACTGTGAAATCATCCCTATGCAGGCCAGAACATAGGTGTGAACAAGGCCTATGCCTTTTTACCAGGATTATACAGTTTGTGCAACGTTGAGATGAGATGTATGACTGGTAATTATAAACAAGTCACTTGGTTAAGGTCCACTAGATGATGCTTAGACCTAAGATTATAACACTTAGTACAGCGTTCAAGATAAACTGGTAAACTTCATATTTAATATGGAATCTAAAATGAGAGGATGAATATTCAAGCATCTGTTCCAGTCAAGCTGTAGAAAACATCTGTAACAGACTTCTTCAGTTTGAGGAGGTTTTGTTGCCTTTGCACCCTAGCCTTACAAAATTTCATATAGTTTATATTGTGCTGTTCATTTTAGAAGGTAAGAATCAATGAGGAGAGGAGTAACGCATAACAAAGCGCTCGTACTATTAGAGGAGCTGAAGAAGTCAAAACACAGAGGAAATCTTTGAAGCAAATCTTTATAGTCAGTGTTGTAAGGCCTAATTAAATGAATAACTGATAGTTGCATAGTGTTTTCATACAAAATTACAAAACTGTAGAATAGGGCATAATCACCCACTGACTAAGAAGTATATAACTACTGTGTATTGTTTCACTTTATTTTTTTCAAATGGATGATGGACCAAGCAAACAAGTCAAATAATCCTGTGTTGCCATGTAGGAAGTAGAAAGGCTTAGAACTGAAAGGCTTAGAACTGAAGAGGCTGTTCCACTATCAGAGTGGCCAAAGTACCAGAGTTCCAGTTTCAGACAGTTGAAAAGTTCTTGAGGAGAGAACACAGGGAACTTAATCTGAAAAACATCTGATGATTTCAAGTGGTATCTTTCAAGTCATTCTACGAGAAGATACTGGTATTTTCTAGACCAAGATTTAGGAGGCTATAAGTGCTTTCTTTCAAATCTCTCCCTAAAGTGTGAATCATTTTCTTCTTGGCTCTTATCACCTTTGCCAGAAGAAGAACTGAAACTCACTGCTCAGAAAAAGATGTATAAAACAAGAGAGACTGAGTGGGAATGTCATTACCCGACCAGCAAGAATACCTCGTTAAATGTTCTTAACACCTACTTACAGAGACTTATACACAGAGAGAATAATATGCCTGCTATTGCAGGCAATCACATGTCATCTTTTCTGTAAAATGATTGCTCTCTTAAAATCAGTTAGGTTTTTATCCTCCCTCCACATATTGCTGCTATTTGGTAGGCTAGCCTAAATGTATTCATCACTATTTTATTACCAGCTTGTTCCTGTGCCAACGCTTCCCTTTAGCTTAGTTCTCTGCCAGCTTCTGTTTTTCCCTTGTACTTACAGCGAACAGTGAAATTCTCCTGCACTTGTAAGGACTAAGCATAGTAAACTCTCTTTTCTGTACCTTTCAGCATCGTAGTAGCCGTTTTTCACTCACAAGCTTCTCCTTTGAAGGGGGTCACCACAGTCGTTCATTTCTGTAGAAGTCTGATCCAAGGATATTAATAAAAAATAGAGCTGCCATAGTACCTGAATCATCTGAATGAACTCCTTTCTCCCAGGAAACCACAAACCTTCACTGTGAAGTAGAGCTCAAAAAGTCAATCTTCATTCTAGTATTATTTGAGGAGTAGAAAAAACAACTCCTACACACACAGTTTGTGAAGTGACAATTCACTTAGAGCAGGCAAAGCACCTAGTGAGAAATTTGTTTGTAAAATATGAATATACAAGTTGAATTTAAATTGTAATTTCACAGTTCAGACATGGTGCTGGATCTGACTGTATCCAAGTATTCAAAAGGCACTTAAAACATTACATTCTAAGTATTATTTGTAAAAAGAAACTGTGATTCCTCTTACTGAAAGTGACTGCAGGAAAATGTACTTCAGGCGAAAAGTCACATGGATTTGGGGGTTAAGAGCACGAAGAACAACTTAGGGTAAAGAAGCTTTTAATTGGAGCGTAAGCTAGGAATCATAACACTTTTTGAACATTGGTTTAAAATGCAGAAGACTGTCACGAGTCCTGTAAAATTTGGTGAAGCAATAGTAGTTACCCTGCATTAAGTTTTGGTTTTAGTATGTGAAATTTACATAGTCAAGCTCTCCCAGAACTATCTCCTATCTCCTATGAAAAGATTTTGTTTTGTTCTTAACTGAGGCGGTATTCTTAAACTTCAAACAAATTATTTCATTACCAATAATCTGTTTTAGAACTGTTTTGAACTAAGAACAAAAATACTAGTTTCATAATTTGTTTGGTATCTGATCTTTATCGGAGGTAACAGAGTTTAAGAATATGTATGGGACCCAATGCCCAGATTAGAACCGCTATAGACTTGTTTTGTAACAAATTTGTGATAGACCTTGATAAGTGAATGGCTTCTCTCTTTAAAATCACAACATCCCAGCTTGATCTCAGTTCTTGGTGTTATGAACAACGACATCTAGCAGTGGCATATCCTTATCTGCTTTAAAATTTGTTATTTTGAGTCAGAATAATTCTGTTTACAGGCTGAAGAATATAATTTCAAGAATAACAGGAAACCCTATAAAAGTAAACCAGGTCAATGATTTCACCAGTCCTTCTCACATACCCCTTAATGGAGTCAACTCACTAACCTGTAGAGAGGTAAAGTAGGTCCTTATGGTTGTAACAAATCAGTAGTGTTGGACACTGAAGAATCCCACCTCCCCAGTCCCTTTTCTAGCTTCTTGACCCCTTAGTCAGAAACTTTAATTACATAATACAGTCATTACACAGTATCTTATTTTACAATCTCACAGGAAAAAGAGTGAATGCAGTAGGTCAGAGCTGGCATGACAAGCCAGCAAGTTTCCTAGACTTCTCCTGAGGTCTTGGTCTTTCACAAATGAACAAGAGGAAGGAAGGAATAATATAAAATAAACTTTCCTGGAAGCTTATGCCTTCTGCCCAGGAGATGGCGAACGTGGTCTCCCAATTTTATTCCATCATCCAGTTCCTCTGTAGGAAGCAGCAATCTGGGGCTGTAGTTTTGAGAAGCCAGGAGGAATAAAGTGTCTGCAATAACCCAAACAGAACCATTTACTTTAGCAGTTGAACAGGGAAGACAGAGATATTATTCACTGGTTTAGCAAAAGGTTTGTCATCTGCTACAACATTTACCATCTGAGGCAGCCCAGCACATTTTAGGGGAAGCTGGCAGTTGGTAGTAGCGGATGGTTCTCTGTAGCATGCCAGTCATTTGCAATTTTAATCTGAAAGAATATATGCCAAGTATGAGTCCTTCCTTTTAATGCCAGGTCAGATGCAAACTCCACCGGGGCTGGAAAAGAACAGTGTATTTAAAAGGATGCTGACAGCTTGGAATGTTTCAAAACCAGCCCATCTCAAACAATGCACGGTTTGCAAAGATTTCTCTTTAAATAGCAATACACAGAGGATCTGTTACAATCATGTCTGTAGACGGAAGTAAGGTGGAGGGGAGCTGGGGGGGGGGCTCCTTCTCTCCCGATCATGTTACAAACCAGCCCTACACAGTGCACCAAGCCCAGCATCATCCTTTATACTTGATCTCTGTTCTGTATGTACATGCACATTTTCTTGTTGCTTTTTCAGCCTCGCTTCTGCTGCTGCTGTTAATAAAAGGCCTGAGACAAAAGTGTCCCCTCTCCTTCACTGACCCGTCTGTGCCCTCACCTCCTGACAGACATCATCTTGCCAGTGTACAAGAGATGAGGTGCTCACGCACATCAGCGACACTGATGCCCCGTAAAGTGCTGTCAAATACACAAACGCACTGAACAGAGACAGTTCCCATCCTTCCTCTCTTCCAGTTACAGCTCTTGTAAAGACTTATTTGTAACAATAGTAGGTATAGCTTTTTTTTTTTTTAAATACCTCTGAGGGAGACATGATTTTTCAAGCTGACAGCACCCCTTTATGCTGATGAGATAGTGAAGGTTCAGTGCCAGCTAGCAGCAGAATTATAATAGCATCCATTAGAGCTGTTTAGCTAGAGTCTGCCAGTGCTTCTGTTTGTAATTTAGACGGTTATAACTCAGCCATGCAAATAAGATGGAGGAAAAACTTTACATTGAAAATCTGGACCTTACAGTTGGCTTTCAGTTTCTTTAAAAAAGTAAGTATCAAATTTGCTTTGACGCTCTGGACCATGCTGTAAGGAGATAAGAAACCTATTTGAGAAGACTGAAGTATACCAACGCCTGGCCTTTGTGCTGATGGGGAATTGGTCTAATTGGAAATGCTGACATCTTTACAACTGTATCTGTGACTGTAGCTCCAGAGGTGTCCAAAGCCCCACTCTGTACCAGTAAGTCTTGAGGCAAATTTTGTCATTGCTTCCGAGCAAAGTGCTATACAAGTCAGCAGGGCTTGCTAAGCTGCTTGCATGGCAGCAGGGCTCAGCCTGCATAAAGCTCGTTGCAGAATTATGACAAGAGTCAGTATGGTACACACTGTCAGAAGTATTTTGGTTCCTTAGCACTTTGTGGGATTTAGGACTCGCTGCCTCATTCACCGACCTTTTTCTGCATTTCTCTCATTTATCTACCCACTTAGAGACATGACCCTTACTTTTGATTATTTTTGGAATCCCCTAATAATAGTCAGTATTATCCTGTGCTCTACCAAACCTGAATGGAAGAAAGGCATGGAAAAATCTAAAGATTGACTTGGATGTTACCAAACAGCTCAAATACTTTTGTAAAGACATGTCTGGTGACAAATAAATAATCAGAGGATCAAAACAAAATCAAAGAAAGCATGAAAACATGACGGAGTGCTCTGCATAACAGAAAGTTATGGTAAGTACATTCAGAGACAACTCTTTTTCTGATGAGGACAGCATCAAAGTGTACTTGACCATCTGCTTCACAGGATGTTTTTCTTTTCCTGGGCACAGATGGTAAACTTCAAACATCACTATCACTCTTGTCTACAACATCAGCCCCACAAGCAATCATCTTATTTACAGTTTCTTCCCATCGCTTTCCAGTGACCTCATTTCTCACTTTGGTGCCAACTTAGAAGTTTTGGCTAATATTAAAGGCCCTCGTGGGTATAGTAACATAGCTTCCAATAAAGCAAAGACCCTTTAAATAAAATAAAAGCTATACACATTTTTGCCTTCTCCTCAGATATCAAATTATAAGTCTTTCTTATGCTTTCAAAAAAAAAACCAAAGCAAGAAATCTAACCCAGGTGCACCTGCTATTCCCTCTTTTGTCTTACTTTGCACATTGGCTGCCTAGACGGCAAGTTCTCTTGTCTTCGTAGCTGCACGTGGGGTGTGCTGCCGCAGCCAGTGCTGCCATCAATAACAACACGGTTTCTGCCTGTCCTTTGTAATGCATCATCAAGATAGTTTGGTTATTTTAGGATTAGATTTCAAGCTTTCTAGCTTCTTGACACAGCAGTGGTCTTTTATCGTTTTGTAGAAAAATAAGACAGATCCATGCAGTTTAATGGATGGATTGTTTCTCCAGTGACACCTCGCAGCAAAACGGTCCTATTTTCAGAAGTGTCGAGTACATTGTTTTTGGAACTTCAGATCCTTCTGACATATTTTGATACCCAGCCTCCTCCCCCCCGCCCAGGTCCATCCAATTTGCAGGATCAGAAGGGATCCCAGGACAATTATCCCCAAGAGAAGTAACTTCTGTGGCATTTCTGGTTAAAATTTCTTCTTCCTCTACATTTCCTTTTCCTAAATCATTCTGCATCATATGCACTGTTATCCTCCGTTCCAGAGCAGGCTGCACGCTGGCAGTGAAAGAACACTTTCCTATTTCAAAAATTCAGTAATAATAAATAGTGAAAAGTACCAACATTTAAACCAAAAAATTACACAGACACTCTTAACACACCCTCCATTGAAGCAATCAAAGGAGCTATGAAATTTGCTAGTGACTGAAAATGAACTTGACTTTCAGGTAATGAATTCAATTTACTGGTAATTCTCTAGAGAGGGGAAAAAGCTTTGCGGATGATCGCTGCATACAAAATAAATATCCCAGTTACAAATGATATTTATTCTTAAGTACAGGCAGCTCTTCTCATTAGCAGGGTTTGGGGGAGGGCACATCCTCTAGCACAGGGCCACTCTAATGGTAGGCACCAGTGCAGTGCTGCACCACAAATCAGTTTTGCTCAGTCCTCTGCATGCCCTGCAGTAACTCACACATCTCTCACAGCTTCTTGCATGCAAAAAATTGAAGGTGGTAGCCTTAAGTGTCAGCAGCCACCAGGAAGGAAGGGACTGAAAAAGCCGACTTCTGAGCTGTGTGCTTGACTCTGCTGTGACTCTCGAGCATGTCATTAACCACACTGTTTTCTGCCTAGCAGGTAAAAAGCGAGGTTACACCTCTTCCCGGGGAGATGGGATAATTAAGTGATTCACTTGGTATTAAGCCTCTTGAAATATGTAGGCAAAAGAACTTACAAGTGTACTGAGCATATTGTCAAGAAAGAGATGTCAATGCCAGAGCATTGCGTTCCTTATGACATGACAGCGCAGGCTGAAATTATTTGCTGCTGCCTACAAAGCAAGCAGTGTTTTGCAGAACTTACTTATCACTCTCTTCAGCTCCTTAGGAGCACAGCATCGCACAGCTTTGAAAACACAACAAGGTTCAACTCCTGAACTAAAACTTAAAATCATTATTACAAGGCTCTTCAAAGGAGTCGTGGGTCCTGCTGGGTTTTACAGCTGAGAGCAAGTCTTTACCTCTCCCTGACCCACTTTAAAAGTCTGTCCTTCTAGCTTATTCATACAAAAGGCTTCAGAAGGAAATTATGAATGGAGGCCACAATGAAAGAGCAGCTCATTTTTTTCTGAAGAACCTGTTGCCTTGTCTCACTTTCAGACTTTCCAGGTGAACCGGCATCTGCTTTCAGTAAGAAGTAACTATTGAGACAGTTACCCTGACCTTGCCTCCTTTTCTTCTCACCCTCCCCAGTGGCATCTTGCCCCTTAACCTTCCCTCTCCTTTCATGTACCTAGTGACTGGGGAGCAGCACTTGCTGGGTGGGATGACAGTTCAGGTACATAAACTCCCCCGGTACCATTGCCTGTTCGGTGCACGTGCCCATGTAGAGGGAGGAAGGCATTTTTGGCACTGCTGAAGAATCAAGCCCAGATGATCCTGACTGACTCACTGACATGAATTCCATTTTCACAGCTAGGTCCCTGTTGCATAGGTTGTGCTGCTTTGTTTTGGTGAGAGTTGCCTGGTTCCCAGCCGTTTGCCATAAAATGCACACTTCCTGGAGGGCAGTATAGCTTCTGCAAGCCTTTAGGAGGGGGCTGCAGAGTTTGCAGAGCCCAGCAATGTCTCATGGGTGGAGTGATGTATAGTTCAAATAAACCTGAGATGAAGCAGATGTAGGAGGCA